AAGCTGGCCCATGGTTTCACAGAGACATGATCTCCTGGACAAGCGATCCAGACACCAGCCTAGACCAACAAACCTGTTGGTTGTCACAACTGACCACCTGCAAAGCTAAACCAGACCACAGGAATAATTTTTGTTTGCACTGAAATAGATCTTGAGCAGCAAGTCATTAAACACTCCATCACTTTTGAAAATGAATACTATTTTCTAGATTATAATAGGCTGGTTTGCTTTGGGTTTTTACTGCTGTCAATATAACTGGATTAGTGAGAGACTGAACCCTACTCTCTGCTTGACATAGGGCAGAACCAGCTGTTTCAGAACAAGTAAGCAATCCTCCTTTGAGAGCACCCGGAACAGTCTGCCTGCTCAAGTCCCAGTCCGCCACCCTTCTGCTCAATGGCTTTCCCATTTCTGGACTGACAGAAGGGTGAGTAGATGTTCCTAACCTATTTTCTCCAAGCCCTCCATTATTTCACATAATCCAGTTATAACCCATCTTTAAAGTTGGATATTCCAGATGTTATTCTTTTGCTCTCATTTATCTCAGCTGCCCTACTCACTCATCTGCTTACTCCATTTTTATGAGATTTCTAAGCACAGCAGCAGTCCTATTCCAGTACACCCTGATAAATTCAGCTGGAATTAACACTATTAACTTGTATTTTTCACCTTATTTTTAAGAAACCTCGTCTAGGAGAGCAGTGTCATCTCTCACACAACACAACTTTGAACAATGATCACAGATTACGTCCACATCTGAAGAGTACAAAACCTATTTATTCCAAGTTTTACTGACATGGCACCTGAACAAGGATTTTGACAACAGTTTGCAAGCACTGCCTGAAGCTTCCCATCGCCCCCACTAGGGGGATTTATAAGGTCCCTTGCCCCTGCGGGTTCTTTAGTCTCTCGTGGTGTTCAGGATCATACTGTCACTCCTCCTATACTGCAGTCACTAGTAAGACCTCTTTCCTGCGAGCTAATCTTAATAATCTGTAAAAGCTTGAAATTCTATCAGATTCAACATTTCCCAACAGATTCAAATTATTCCACAGTGAGAAGAAACCAAAGAGAAGCTGCTTGACCTTGAATGCCTTAGGAAAAGCACTTCAGATACAAGTAATTTTATTTCAATGTAAACAGTGTCGCTTTTTCCTCCTCAGCGGCACAGCACACCCACAGTGACTTCCATCCAAAACTAGTCCTTCCAGTAGCCTGTGAAACACTCCACAGGAATTCATCTGTCTTGGTATTTTGACATTTTGAAACCCATCATGGGTATGTTTTTTTAGGCTCTGGTATCAAATCAAGGATCTTTTAAGATCAGAAAGTGTTTTTACTGAAGAATAAATTTAAAAGTATGTGTTGCAATGCCAGGCTCATCCAAGCACAACTTATTCCTTAGCATTTATCTGTTTCAACAAACAACCCCAAGACTACCTCACATGCCCTGAAGTGGAATTAAGGATACTTATGTTCCAGAAAAAGTTTGCTCATTCCAGTGGAAGAAAATAGTGAGTTTGCACCATAATTCTTGAAAGTGATGAAGCTTACAATTATTTACTTGAAGAGCATTTCAACACTAGCAGTTCTTGCAGATGTTTTACACAAGCAAAAACAAATGCAAGTATCATGGCACTATGCTTGAGGGCAGTCAAGAGTACCTGTATATATACTACTTGAACTAATACACCTACTGGCACTCATGTTTCTCCAATAGTTTGTCTCCAAAACAAGGAGAAAAGGTCCATCCTTACTGAAAAATATACAATCCATCAACAGTCAGCACCATAGGAGAACACTTACTGCATGAGTTTTCCTCACTGCTTACTGCCAAGCACTGTTAACTGTGGGCCTGCAGTGGGAACTCTCCTGCTGCCCTGCTTTTCAAATTGCTCAGAGCACAGCTGGCTCCCTCCTCTGCCTCTGAGCTCCTACAGCCACCCCAACACCTTGATGAATGAATCACCTGAACAGTACTGGTGAACTTCTGTGTGTTAGAATCCCAGACTGGTTTGGGCTGGAAGGGACCTTCAAGTCCATCCAGTTCCAACCCCCTGCCATGGGTAGGGATACCTCCCACTTGACCAGGTTGCTCCAAGCCCTGTCCAACCCGGCCTTGAACACTGCCAGGGATGGGGCAGCCATGTTGGAGCTCTGTCACACTGATCTTCAATTTAACTTCCACATACAAACCTTAAGCTAATCCAGATATTCTGGATACTGCAAAACATTTGCATGTTAGTCTTACAAACACATTTTCTTTCTTTACATAGAACCAGTAAGAGTTAAAATTCTGCACTGAACACCAGTTTCTCTGCAGAAAGAAAAGCCACCTCTAATACACCACTACATGTCTGCTCCTCCCACTGAAGGAATTTGTTTTTCACAACTTCCAAAATGCAGGAAAACATGCTACAATCACAATGTTTTGAAAGCTCAGCTGTAGTTACTTTTTCCCACCATAAAGGAATCTGCTTAAGATAAAGTCACAGCTGTTAGAGAATCTCACACTTGTTTGTGCATTAGAATCATTAAATGTTGCTGCCTTCTTGGGATACATGATCCTTCCCTGGGGTCACTGTTCTCTGTTCAGAGATACTTTATGGTCTTGCATTTCATATATCCTCTTCTTTGCTTCCATTTCTCAAAGTCAGGGATGGGTCTAATTAAATCTAACTAGAGATTTGCTTTGCTCCCCCCCAGTGGCTCTGGAGTTGCAGAACAAGTCCACTACATATTCTGGGTCCTACATACTAGGGGTTTAATTACTCTAAGGGGGGTCACATTCAGCGTTCAGTTAACCAACAAGCATTTAAATGACACCTGCAACAGAATGCTTTATTCTTTGTATGAGAATAAAAAGCGAAGAGCACCTCTAAGTGGTTGCTGCCAACTACAGCAGATGGATTCTGCTGTTCACAAGATTAGGTATTAAAGTGTCTGCCTTCTACAGAATAAGACATAGGTAAAAAAAGGTGTTGTCCTGTGGACTGGGAGTGCCAAGGCTTTAAGGTCCCTCAAAGTGCTTGAACAGGGGCCTTGCCTACTATAATTATTTACCGGAGTGTAAAACCATTAGGAAAAAAATACATGTGTGTTTAAAATCTGAAGCTCAGCACTACAACAGCAAAAGTCAGATGCTGTATTCGCAGCACAGCACCAGAGACCTTACACAGCTGATTAATTCTTATAGCAATGATTAACTTCAGGGAATTCAAGATTAGGCAGAAACACAGAGCTTCAACTCCATGAAAAGAATAAAGCACATGCAAGGTTCCAGGAACTCTGTGTACCGCTTTGTCTTTACTAGGAAGTTACTACTACCAGCTACAAAGGCAGAGGGCAAGCAGATACCAGATACTTAATTCTCCTAAGCACCTAGATTATGAAAAGCAAACTTTTATGAATATTGACAGATCAGGTACCTGACGACGACAGCCAACCACGTATCTTGGTCCATTTGTAGCCTTCACAATAACTGGAGAGAGAAGAAAAAAAAAAATAAAAATTCGCATTTACTTGATTCACTGCTCTGTTAAGCTTCTTCTATTTTCTGCCAATATCCAGATCACCACAGAATCATAGAATTGTTTGGGTTGGAAGGGAGGATCATCTAGTTTCAAATCCCCTGCCACAGGGTTGCCATGCCCTTCCTTCTCCAGCTTTCTTGTCACCCCTTTTAGTTACTAGAAGCTGCTCAAAGGTCTCCCTGGAGCCTTCTCTCCAGACTGAACAAGCCCAGCTCTCTCAGCCTGGCTCCAGAGCAGAGGTGCTCCAGCCCTCTGAGCATCTTCTGGGCTCACTCTAACAGGTCCACATCCCTCTTGTGTTGGGGGCCCCAGAGCTGGATGCAGTACTGCAGGCAGGGTCTCACCAGAGTAGACGGGGAGAATCACCTCCCTTAACCTGCTGGTCACTCTTCTTTTAATGCAGCTAAAGATGTGGTTCTCTGTCTGGGCTGCAAATGCACATTGCTGGCTCATGTTAAGCTTCTCATCAACCAACACTCCAAGTCCTCCTCGGGGCTGCTCTCAATCCAGTCGCTGCCCAGTCTCTGCTCGGGATTGCCCCAACCGAGGTGCAGGACCTTGTACTTGGCCTTGTTGAACTTCATGAGGCTGGCACTGCCCCACCTTTCCAGCCTGTTAAAGTCCCTCTGGATGCCATCCCTTCCCTCCAGCGTGTCAACTGCACCACACAGTTTGGTGTCATCAGCAAACTTGCCGAGGGTGCGCTTGATTCCACTGTCCATGTTGCAGACAAAGATTTTTATACTCTTAAGTTTTTAATCCTACAAATCTTTAGCCAGAATTTAACTACAAAAGCTTATTTTCAACACCTCAAAGAATGTAACAGCCCAACGTACTTACATTTCTCTTCTGTTAGCTGTTTAAGAACCTCGCCAACGATCTGCAAAAGAATAAAAGCAGTATTAACCTATAAACTACCACCCAAAACCACCTGTAACGTTTGTCTCAGGACACTTAAGATGACTGCCAGCTTTGAAATCCTCTCTCTTGCTTCATGCTGTTCACTGGTGCTTTTCTTTAACACATCTCTGTTAAGCAGGACACATACAGGAAACCTCCCTAACCCACACACTCAGCACGTGCTCCTGACAGCAAGACCCCCAATTCTCTCAGCCACTCTGTTCCCACTTTTTCATGATGCCACAAAAAGACTGAAATGGTACTTCCAGGCAGGTTCACTGTCAACCACTGCTACAGGATACCATGACCTCGTTTTTCTTACCTGCCCAACACTCTGCAAGGCCTTGAGATCATTTTCTGACTTTTCATATTGCTTAGTGAGCTCCTTCAGCTGTTCCCTTACTAGAAGACAAAAGAAACACAGGGATTCACTAACATTCAATCCAACAAGAACTTGGGACCAGGCCCTTTTCCAGAGCTACAGCTTTGAGAGAACTCCATGCCCTGCAAGTCACCCTCCTGCAAGCAGAGCTGAGCCCCTGCTCTGCAACACCAGGGACCACACACCCTCGGCAGGGTGGTGATGGGCACAAACACTCTGCAGAAGGCATCTAAAAACCCAACCCCCAACGTAAAAAGCTCAAATACAAAGGTACCAGCGCCTCTGCACAGCACTGGTGCTTATCCTGTCTGACCGATGTAGCACACAGCATTTGGAACAGAGAAATAAGAAGCTGACAGAACAACTTCACGGGGGAAAGAGCTAAGGAAGCCCCCTTCCTCCGCCCGGCGCGGCATGGAGCCGGCAGGGCCC